CCAGAGTGACATGTTCAATGAATGTGTATGTGTGTGTGTATCAATTTCACTGTCCACATACACATGAAGTGAATAAATACAAAATTGAACAAACAAATCTCAAAATGAGAATACATCTGGGAAACAACAACAACAACAACAAAACAGACAACAAATAAAATGAGATCTGACACATTCCACATTCATATTATAGTAGAAAATAAAAAGAGAGAGAGAGAGATGCATATAACCATCATCATCATCATCATCATCATCAGTAAATAGAAATTGAAAATTCTTTGATTTGAATGAATAAATTGTATGTACATATATACAGTGGACATAGACTATATATATCTATACATCGATGGTCCGAAATTTTTTTTTAAGTGTCAAACACACACACACACACACATAGTAGTATAGTGACAAGTTTGGATATATAATATACAGGACATTGAACCAGAAAAACAACAACGAAAAAAAAAAAAAAAAAATCTTTTAGTTTATCGTCATAAAATTATATAAGTTTTGATTTTGTTTAGTAATGACAGGATTGGATTGTCACACACACACACACACATTACTGTTTTTTTTACTACTTTTCGTTTGAAGATTTGATGATTGAAACTTTTGTTTTTTTTTATTATTGGAATGTTTATAAGTGTGTGTGTGTGTGTGTGTGTGTGTCTATGCATTAATTGACTCGATGATTGGTTGTTGTGTGTGTGTGTATGTAATAGGAATTTGTTTTATTTCCTCTCTCTCTCTCTCTTTGCATTCTTTTTTTTCAATATCAAACATTTGTATATTAAATAACGTTTGTTCATTTCATTGATTAAAATGAATTAAAAATTCAACATCATATATACAACCAACATTTATTTTGGCCGTATCATCAATTTTATCATTATAAAACTTTAAAAAAGTTTTTAAAATTATGTTTACATCATAAACATGATGATGATGATGGTGGTGGTGGTGGTGATGCATGTTTCTACGAAATGAAAAAAAAGAAACGGAAATGAAACGACAAAATTCATTCTAAAGAATTTTGTCAAAGAGAGAAAAAAACTTGAGAATATTTTTCAAGTTTGAAATAAGAATGAAAATAGACAACAACAACAACAACAAAAAAAACAATGTATGGATGTCATCATTGTCATCATCATCGTTATTTTTAATTCATTTTGACACATGCACAGAATAGACAAAAAAAAGTCAGCAAAAAAAAGCAGTAAGATCTGCTGTTGTCAATGTGACGTGTTTATTCTCTAGTTGCCTGTTTTTTTTTCTTTGAAATTTTGTTTCTGCATTTATAACATCATCATCATCATCAACATTGAGAAGAATCATTATTACACTAGAATGAGATTGTTTTTTTTTTTTTTTGGACCACCAGATAAGTTTTTTTTTCATTTCTTCTTCATTCGTATGTCAAATAATTATTATTTCAAAGACCATGATGATCATAATATAATAATTAAGGCTGATGAACACATTGATATATATATAAAGGAAATAACACTCTAAAAAGATGATTAAGATGATGATCACTAAAGCTTTGAGCATCTTATTAGCTAGTGGAAGCTACGATCAAAGTACCCCCTCCTCTCACCCCTTAACAAACACACACACACACAGCCGAATCATTCAATCAATAATCAATGGATGGACAATAAACATTATATAATGTTTCGTGAGTGAAACATTCAAAAAAAGTAATATATATTGAGAGGCAGGCAAAAAAAAAATTACTTAATTGAATGCTTCATTCATTTGCAGTATTATTATTTCAACCCAAATGTGCTCATTATCATCATTATGATGATGATGGATAATTTTATAATAATCGAATAAATCAAAAAAAAAAAAAAAAACGAACGAACGAACCTGTAGATCTTCGTACGATGATGATGTTCATTGAATTCATTTTCATTTGACGATGAAATCGATGATGATCACAAAAATTCAAGGAGATATCAATTTCGAATCGAAAAATTGATCTTTTGTTGATGTTATTTTTTCGTCCATCGTGTCTTTATTCACATCGGAATCTGTGATTTCAATTTTTTTTTCTTCACTAATGATATTTTTTACATGAGAATTTTTTTGTCCATTCGAAAAATTCTTGAGCGATCACATTACATTTATATAAAAAACAAAACAAACACAAAGTTGTCATTATGGATTGCAATCAAAAATTTTGTTTTTGCTTTTCTTGTTCTTGATGCAATGTCATATCATATCATGTATCATCATCGGTATGTCTGTTTTTTGAAATTTCACTTTTTTGATGAATTCATAAGATTCACTGTGACCTTGGTCATCTTGACCAGATTTGATTTTTATGTAAATTATGTTCATTGATTTTTGACACAAATCTCGTTGTTTTGATCACATGACACAAACAGGATACAGTTATCAGTTTGATTTATATTTTTACATTCACCATATAACCAGATTTCGATAATGACATTTTTCTACTTCGTCGTCGTCGTTTTTTTAATCATTGACCCATTTTTTTTGTATTAGAATTCATGATCAATTGTGATAAACCGTTGTGTGATTCATATGTATTTTTTTTTCTTGCTCCCGCCATGATCATTACCATTTGAATCATTTCGATATTGAACTATGGAAAATAAAACATTTCATTATTATTAGAAAAAACCAGTCTGATCAATCAATCAATTCATTCATTCATTCGTTCAATCAATCAATCAATCAAATCAGACCATATGAAATACCTGAAAAGACAAAAGAATGACTAGTTCAGATCGTGATGAAAAGACCATTGTGTCGTTTTTTCCTTTTTTCTTGTAAATGATTTCATGTTGATGATGATCATTACGTGAATATACAATCATTATATTTTATTTGGTTGTTTGAAAAAAGACAAAAGACAATCTTACAAAATACATTTGGTTCACATATCGGAAAACATCTTCGGGTATAGAAATCAGATTAACACTTCGGATCATTTATCCATGACCAACGTAAATTCGGGTTATATATCATTATTATTATTGTTGTTGTTGTTGTTTTGTTGTTACCGAATAAACAATTCATTCATCCGGTAAGTATTGCATGATATAGATATAGAACGGTACCAGTCGGTGGCAACATTTTTACATTTGATTATATTTGATCTTGAAGAAAAATGTTTACAGATTATCAATGATATGAAATGAAATTTGTTAAAAAAAAATTTAGGACAAAACTAAAAAAAAAAATTCCAAAAAAATCTAGTTCCTTTGTTTCAAAATAAAACGCGATTAATGTAACCACCAATTGTGTTCGAAAAAAAAACGGCGATACAATCGATACTGATATGTATGTAATTTGCTATAGCGGATTTTTGTTTTTGGGTATTCAATCACTCATTCATTCAAAGTTCAAGTAAATTATTCAATCGTTTTTTTTTGTTGAAAATTTGCAACTTTTTTTTTGTCTGATTAAAATTTTGGATCGAAACTTGATCCAAATTCTAGGTATTTATTTTTTTTTTTTTAATAAAATCGATTATTTTTCTATTCAATTATCGAATTTTATTATTATTATTATTAGCAACTAGTGGTCATAGATAGTGGTAGTGGTAGCAGAAATAAAACGGCAAACAAAAACGATAATCATCATCATCATCCATCGTACTCCTCCTCAACCACCACCATCATCATTCATTCATTCATTCATTCATTCATTCATTTAATTTTCTATTTTTACTCACTCAATGTTTATTTGTTTTTGTTTTGGATCATAATTTTTTTTACCAAGAAAAAAAATACAATACAATAAACAAAGTTTGTGTGTTTGGAAAACTAAAAAAAAAAAAACATTCAGGTCATCATCATCATCAGGATTATTATATTATCATTGTTATTTGTTGTTTAAATCCATAGCAATTTTTGATCATTTTCAAAAAATTATCATTGAACAACAACAACAACAACAATGTCTTCGTTAACTCAACAACGTCGTGTTGTCGAACAATTAAGACGTGAATCGCATATCAAACGTATTATGGTTTCCGTTGCTGTTGAAGATTTAAAGGTAAAATTCTTAGTTTTGTTGTTTTAAATTTTTTTTTTAAACATTGCCTTTTTCTCGCCCGAAAAAAAATAGAAATACGTCCTTGAACATGCAACTGAAGATTGTCTTCTGGTTGGATTTCATTCACAAAAAGCTAATCCATTCCGTGAAAAAAGTTCCTGTGTACTACTGTAATCACATTTTGGCTTCCTGTGAATGTGTAATGATTATTTTGTTCCATTAGAAATGAATCAAATTATTATTCCATATACATTAATAATCCATTTGGGTCCAATCTCAAAATGTATTTGTATAAAAATTTCCTTCAACAATAACAACAACAACAACAACGATGCCATCAATTAAATCAATCCGTCCTTTATGTCCTTATTATCCTATCGATTAATAAATTGATCAATAAATAAATTCCAATTAAATGATTGAATTTTGTTGATTTTTTTTAGGTTAATGAGCAAAGCAAAAAAAAAAAAATTTTTTTAAACATTTCAACAATATAGTAGTGTTAACCATTTTGGGTGGAAATAGTGTGGATATATAGCCGGATTCGCTTTCCAACAACAACACTGCTTGCTATTATATTTTTTTTATACACGTACCACCACTACCACTACCACTAGCACATGTATGTATAAAAGCTAACAGCACCCTCATGTTGAAAAAAGGGGGATAAAAATTTATATTTTATACAGAAAAACTTTGGTTACCACAAAAGTTTTCATATATGAAAATCAACAGATTAGAAAAACGAACATTCACTGTATATACAGTGTGTGTGTGTTTTGCCCCCCAATGAGGGTGCTGGTTACACATAAATGGCATGAGTTTAGTTTTGTCTGTGTGTGTGTGTTGGTGTTCGTTATATTCTTAAATATCCATTTTTGAGCATCAATTTTTTTTTGCAATTAATTTTTTTTATTGTCCATCATCAACAGTTTTTTTTGTTGTTGTTGTTGTTGTTGGTAGTGTGTTCCAAGAAACAAACAAACAAAAAAATTCTCGTTTGAATCATTCTTTTGGAAACAAAACGAAAAAAAAACAACGCTGAACTTGAATATTTTATTCCATGAATCCAAATCATTACATGTGTGGCTAAATCATCATCATTCGTGGTTTTTATTATTTTCTTGTTTCTTGAAACACGGCTGTTTTCAGTTTTTTTTTTTACCAAAAAAAAAATTCTGATCAATAATTATGGATTGGCAACCTGAACAACAAGGTCTTGATCAAATTCTACAGCTATTACGGCAATCACAATCACCGGATATTCAAACACAGAATCATGTACAACAACGTTTGGAAGAATTGAATAATTTTCCAAATTTTAGTAATTATCTTGTTTTTGTTCTATCCAAAATGACTAATGAAGGTAAAATTTTTGTGAAAAATTCATTAATTTTTATTGATTGATTTGATTTTTTATTTTATATGATGATAACCAGATGAACCAACACGTTCATTAAGTGGTCTAATATTAAAAAATAATATTAAAGCAAGATATCGCCAATTACCACGTGAAGTTATTAATTATGTTAAATTTGAAGCATTAACCTGTATGGGTGATCCATCATCATTGATACGTGCTACAGTTGGCATTCTAATATCAACATTAATGCAAGAAGGTGAACTACAACAATGGCCAGAATTATTCGATATTCTATTGAATAAATTGGATTCAGAAAATTATTACGAATGTGAAGGTGCTTTTAGCATACTACATAAAATTATTGAAGATAATGCTGAAGCATTGGATAATGAAAATTTTTGCCGACAATTGAATCTATTGATACCGAAATTTTTTCAATTTTTTACTAATCCAAATTCAAAAATTCGTTCTTATGCATTGGCATGTGTGAATAATTTCATTCTAAATCGAACACAAATAATGATGCCCTATGTTGATATATTTATCGAGGTAATGATAACAATTCTTGGATTTTTTTTTCAAATCATCATAAATTGTATTTTCGCTTTATATTCATTCAGGGTTTATTCAAACTTGCTGCCGATAATGATCGTCAAGTACGACAAAATGTTTGTAAATCATTCGTTACATTAGTGGAAATCCGTATGGATCGTTTGATACCACAAATCCATAATATAATCGAGGTAATTTATCATTTTTTAAAACAATATTTCAAACATGTACATACATCTTTCTAATCGCGCCATAAGTGATTATTTCAATTTACTTATTGGTCAGACAATGAAAGTAAATTATGAATATGAATGATTTATTTGGAAAATCTTTTTTTTTCCTGAATCAAATTCGAACAGCCAATGTTCGTTTAACTATATATCATTGAATAAATCTGACAAATTTTTTTCGTTTCTTTTTCACAGTTTATGTTAATGAGCACACAAGATCAAGATATAAATGTTGCATTAGATGCTTGTGAATTTTGGCTTACATTAGCTGAACAACCAATTTGTAAAGAAGTACTTGCACCACATCTTCCACGATTATTACCAACATTGATGCAAAAGATGAAATATTCAGATTTGGATATTATTCTTTTAAAAGGTGATGTTGAAGAAGATGAAATGATACCGGATAAAGAAGAAGATATTAGGCCACGTTTCTATAGTGGTCGTACACATGCACAACCAAGAATGGATGATAGTGAAAATCATCGCCATGATGATGATGATTCTGATGACGATGATGATGATTTTGATTTACATAAAGGAAATAGTGATTGGAATCTACGAAAATGTTCGGCAGCTGCATTAGATTTTTTAGCTAATGTTTTTCATGATGATCTATTACCGGTTGTTTTACCAATTTTACGTGAAACATTATTCCATCAGGATTGGGTGACGAAAGAAGCAGCTGTTCTAGCATTAGGGGCAATCGCAGAAGGTAATAATCCAGAATCTAATTTAATTCGTAATTTTTTTTTGTTATTCACTATTTTTTTTCTCAATTTATTATTAGGATGTATGTTTGGCATTGTACAACATCTAAATGACCTCATACCATATCTAGTATCGTGTTTATCGGATAAAAAAGCTTTGGTCAGATCAATCACATGTTGGACATTAAGTCGATACTCACATTGGGTTGTACAGAATCCCGAAAACTATCTAAAACCATTAATAATGGAGGTTTGTCTTTCTTTTTCGTTTTTAAATTACATTTTTTACATTCCGGCCACTTTATAATAATGTAAATTTCATAATTTAGCTTTTGAAACGAATCTTAGATCCAAACAAACGTGTACAAGAAGCAGCATGTAGTGCTTTTGCAACATTGGAAGAAGAAGCCGGTACGGATCTAATTCCTTATTTAGAATTCATTCTAAAAACCCTAGTCAGCGCATTCGGAAAATATCAGGTAAAAAATAACTTTGTTTTTTTTGCATAATTTTCATACAATAATCTAATTATGGTGTTGTGTAGCACAAAAATCTTTTAATTTTATATGACGCTATTGGTACGCTTGCCGATTCTGTTGGCCATCATTTGAATAAACCAGAATATATTGAATTGTTAATGCCACCATTGATTCATAAATGGAATTCATTGAGAGATGATGATAAAGATCTATTTCCTTTGTTAGAAGTTAGTATTTTTATCAATCATTTTTTTTTTGATTTATATTTACAAAAATTCATTTCGAAACTTGTTTCAGTGTTTTTCTAGCGTTGCAACTGCCTTACAAACAGGATTCTTACCATATTGTGAACCAGTGTTTCATCGTTGCCTTTCTTTGGTTGAGCAAACGTTAAAATTTAATGCGGTAATTAAATGCTTAATTTATTTTCATTCAATTCAAAAATCTACAATTAAAATTTGTTTTTATTAACAGATATTTCAAGAGAATCAAGAACAATATGATCCACCAAATAAAGATTTTTTAATTGTTGCACTTGATTTGCTTAGCGGTCTTGCCGAAGGATTAGGTGAACACATGATTCCATTGATTGAACAAACCAATACCATGAGATTATTGTATGAATGTATCAAAGTAAGTGATTGTTTGACAAACATTCATTTAGATAAAAATCGATAACCGAATCTAAATTCATTTCAGGATCCAACACCAGAAGTACGACAAAGTTCATTCGCTTTACTCGGAGAATTGACCAGAGCATGTTTTGTGTTTGTTGAACCATGTGTTCGTGATTTTATGCCTATATTGGCACAAAATTTAAATCCTGAAAACATTTCTGTTTGTAATAATGCAACATGGGCTATCGGTGAAATATCAATTAAATATAAACAATCAATGCAAGAATATGTACCGATATTATTGCCCCAATTGATCATTAATTTGAATCAAACAGATTCACCGAAAACATTGCTGGAAAATACTGGTAATTTATCTTTTGTTTTAGTATTTAATTCGAAATTTAATTTCCATCAATTTTGTTTTCCAGCTATCACTATTGGAAGATTGGGATTTGTAAGTACACAATTTCATACCCAACAACAAATCTCTCCATTTCTACAGCAATTTATTCGTGCATGGTGTTTATCAATGCGTAACATTTGTGATAATGAGGCAAAAGATTCAGCATTCCGTGGTATTTGTTCAATGATTAGCGAAAATCCAAATGGTGTGCTACAGGATTTTATTTATTTTTGTGATGCTGTTGCATCTTGGAATAATCCGGAACCAGATTTGAAGAACATGTTTTTAGAGGTATTTTTTTCTAAAATAAAATGATAAAAGAAAATTGAATCTAAATTGTGATTGTTTTTATTTCGAATAGATTTTGCATGGTTTCAAAAATCAAGTTGGCGAAGAAAATTGGCGACAATTTTCTGAAAATTTTCCACCCAATCTAAAAGAAAGACTTGCCACTCAATATGGTGTATGATGAAAATTTCTAACCATCAATAATTCAAGAGAAAATAGAAAAAAAAATCAAATATGTGAAGGTGGTCTTTATATATCCGATAATAATAATTAGTTATATTGAAATGCTGCTGTTTTAGTGTGTGTGTGTGTGTGTGTGTGAAGAATTTTTTTTAATTACACAACACTGGTCACAATTTTTTTTTTCGCTTTGATTCTGATCATCATCAATCATTCAATCATTATCAAGATTTTTTTCTTCTTCTCGTCTACCCATGTCTATTTATTCATTGATTCAACAACAACAACAACAACAAAATATGTTTCTGCTTATTTATAAATATTATTATAATTATAATCTTTTGGCATGCCAAAAGAAGATCGCGGGTATCATATCTATTTGTTATTATTATTTTTATTATCATCATCATCATTAATTTACCTAGTCTTTAATCATTTTTTTTTGTTTCATCACTTGTTTAGGATCAATCAAAATTATTATTATCATCATTCATAATAGATTACATAATAGAAAATGTAATGATTCTAATTTCTTTAAATTTGCTCATATTTCATCTATTATTATGGAACAGAGAATAATGTGCTATTTTTTTTCGTTTTACTTATATTTATTTAATCAAAATTAATTTTTTTTTGTATTTAAATTGCTAGAAAATAATTAGATATAATTTATCGTGTGTGTGTGTGTGTCTCTCGTTTTTGTCAATCATTGTAGGAGGGGGGTGTAGAGATTTAGTTTTTTTTTTACTCTATGGTTTCACCATTCATTTTCTATTCACTTGCAGAATAATTTTTGTTTTCGTTTTTTGTCGTAAATATATTCCAAATTTAATTACGTAATCAATTCAATTAATTATAATGATAATGATGATGATAATTGTGGGTGCCTTTTTTTTCACAAACGGTAATTGTAACAACAACAACAAAAACTTGACCAAAAACAGCAAAAAAAAAATCAAATCAAATTATGAAATTGTTTCCAGTTGTTTATTGTTTTCATTTTTGTTATTAAAAATCAATCAAAATTAACAATTCCAACAACAACAACAACAACAAATTTTGTGATTTTCTACTTTCAATTGATGTTTTTTTTCCATGCACACACACATACACACACACACACACGCCAACACACTGTGGATTAATTAGCTGATAATTGATGATAATTTTTAATTAATTAATTAATAATGATAATGATGATGATGATGATGATTAATGTTATAATATTGTAATGTTAATGTGGATGTTTTTTTTTTTACTACTTGATATAATTGTTTTTTCTTTTTCATTTTCTTTTTCAATTTCTTTTTTTTGGCCAATTTGAATTTTCAAATTTGTATTTGTATAATAATAATTATATTGTTTAATCGATTTAATATTCAAATCAAATCAATCAATTTTTATTTTAAATATTATTTTGCTGTACATTATTCTGATGTCTTAATTTTTTGATTTTTTTTTTGTTGATTAAATTTTTCAATATTTTTTTTGAAAAATTTCAACAACAGATGGCTCTCGTGTCTTTGGAATTTTTTTTTTAATATCCCACACATTAAATTATTTCACTCTCTATACCACCAAGATGCTTATTCATTCATCTCTCACACACACACACACCGACACGCGAGTCTTGAGTCTCATCTATAACCACATTACGTGTGTGTGTTGTATGTATGTTTTTTTTCTTCTCTCTTTGTGCGTGTGTTCGGTTTTCAAGCTGGTCTTTTTTAAAATTCTTTTTTGTTTCCATCGATCGTTTTTTTACAATAATTGAATATTTTTTTTTTTTTTAATTATTTGAATTCGAGAATAAAATTGAATTTTATAAAGCTCAATTTTTGGCTCTGTAAAATCAAATTGCCATCCACGACTATTAATTTATTATATTAATTCTGCTTATTACTACAAAGATGAAGATCGTCATCAAAACACTTCAACAGGAAACATTCGATGTGGATATGGATGAAAATGATACGGTTTGATTTGATTTAAAGTTTTTTTTCTGTTGTAATGGATTAATTTGTTTTTTCATTTTTTTATCATAAAAATTAGGTACGAAAATTGAAGGAAAAAATTCATCAAGTAAAAGGATCAGAATTTATGGCCGATTGGTTGAAACTAATATATGCCGGCAAAGTATTGTTGGATGATTCAATCATTAAAGATTGTAAATTTGAAGAAACAAGATTTGTTGTAGTTATGGTTATCAAACCAAAACAGCCACAACAACAATCATCATCATCATCGTCGTCATCAACAACAACGACGACAACAACAACAACAGCAGCAACAACTGAAACAAAAACATCTGAAACAAGTAACACTACATCATCAAAATCTGATTCGACAGTCGCCAATGTTGTTGATGATGGTGCAAAAAGTAGTAAAGAATCAAAAAAACCTGAAACTTCCACAAAAACAACTACAACAACTACATCGACAACAAAAGAAAGTACAGCTACTGAATCCGCCGGTACAATGCCTAATATAAATGTTTCAGAATCCACTGTGGTCGTCGGTGAAGATTATGAACGAATGGTAACACAGATTATGGAAATGGGCTATGATCGTAGTTCAGTTGAACGTGCACTTCGTGCTAGTTTTAATAATCCTGATCGTGCTGTCGAATATTTGATATCGGGTATACCCGATTTTGTTGCTGCTGATGCTGCTCCATTAGCAGCTGCTACAGCATCATCAGATCGAAGTTCACGTTCAGAATTATCCGATACCGGTTCGGAATCGAATCCATTTGAATTTCTACGTAATCAACCAATGTTTCGTACGATGAGACAAACGGTTCAAAGTAATCCACATCTATTGAATAGTATGATACAACAGATAAGCCAAAATAATCCACGTCTATTGGAATTGATTACCCAAAATCAGGAAGCCTTTTTACAAATGTTAAATGAACCGATTGAATCATCAGTTCAACAAACTACGGCTGGCCGTGGAACCGGTGCTGCTGCTGCTGCTGCTTTTCAGCTGCTGCTGTCGATAGTGCTTCAGAACAACCGAATCCAAATCTAATGAATCTGATTGGTACGGCTCATATGACCGAACAGGATAAAGAAGCCATTGATAGAGTAAGATTAATTTGTCATTTGATTTCAATTGATTCTATTCTAATTTTGATTTTTTTTTTAAAAACAGCTTAAAGCATTAGGTTTTCCCGAATATCTTGTCATACAAGCGTATTTCGCCTGTGATAAAAATGAAAATATGGCGGCCAATTTTTTACTATCACAAGGATATGATGATTAATAATAATAATAATAATAATAAATAAAAAATGGCAATGATGTCAACAGTGGCACGATGGGCCAGTATATATGAATTATAAATTTTCACGGCTGAAGAATCGAATGGAATTTTGATTGAAATGAAAATGTCATCACATTATACGCATATTTTTTTTCTCTTTTTTTTCAACACTTTTTTCTTGTGTTTTTTTTTTGTTTCGATTAAAAAAAAAGAAAAGAAAAAACAACAAAAAATTATCTTTACAAAGAGCTTTTATATTTATGAATGAAATAATTTGCAGATAACAAAAACACACTATAAATGAATCTGAATCTATATCACATTCTAGAATCCAACTGCATCCAAGAATCTTTTTTCCTCCGTTTGTTTGATGTTTTTCTTCGTATTTTCTCCGACTTTCTTTCTCTTTTTTTTTCTTCATTTTTACATGATAGAAATTTAATGATTGATTGAAAACATTTATTCTGTAAAGATTTAATCTCTTATTATTATTTTTATGCACAAAAATGAAATTCAATGAGTAAATTCCGCAAAAATTTTGATTCGTTCATATTCTAATCCACGACCCACGGATTGGACATAATAAGCCAATTTTAATGCTTGTTATCTATCAAGCAACATGGATGGATGGATGGATCATTTGTCGGGCATCATCATCGAAACATTTTTTTTTGCAAAATTTATTCTCAAATTCAAATATATAAAGTTTAGAATTTCAAATATGAATGGATTTTAGGACACAAACATCATCATAATGATGATAATAATAATAATAATAGAAATCGGAAATAGATAGATAGAGACATTTGTCATTCAGTGTGTGTGGGTGGGTGTTTGTGTTCAGAAAAAAAGAAAAACATTAAAATAAATAAGTAAAAGTGGTTACAGAATTATAAAGAATAAACGAAAAAAAAAACAAAATGAGAAAAACTGGTCCAACTGAATCAATCATATAAATCAATCGATAATAATAATAATAATGGATATTAAGCTAATATATTATCATATGAATGAATGAATGAATAAATAAATGAATTATATGGATGAAAATAATAATGAAAAAAATGTAAAGAAAAAAATTTTCAAATAAAAAGCTTCACATTACTTAAATGTGAATGTGAATATATGCGGATTATTTGTTTTTATTATCATCATTTAGGTATAAAGAATTTTCACCGAATTATAGCTGAATGATTTGGTGGATTTTGTTTTTTTTTTTTTTTTTGGTATTCAAATTTTTTCCATTCTTCTGTCGTTGTTGTTGTTGTTGTTGTTGTTGTGGTTCAGAATTTTTATCCTTTTCAATCCAGAATGAAAATGTTTTTAAATACAGAATTTCTCATCGTTAGTTATTTGGTCGGTTTAGTTTCGTTTTTTGTTTTTGTTTTTGTTTGTGAGAAAAAAAAGAGATCGAAAAAAAAAAATTTCAAAAGAAAAACGATGCAGAATTTTTTTTTTTTTTTTTGGATTTTCATTCAATTGATTATGACAAGTCGGCAAAAGAAAAAAAAAGTTGTTCAAAATGTTTTTTTCTTCTTTACTTTGAATTTTCAAAGATTCAATTTCAAAACACATCAAATATGTGTGTGTGTGTGTGTTTGTGTAAATAGTATGGATGTGTATGTGTATTATGGCAAATAGTTGATTCAAGAATAAAGAATTTTTTTTTGTTGCAAGTATTCAATAGTATCAAAAAATAAATATATAGAATCTTTGAGTCTTTCAATGATTTTGTTTTTGTTTTGTTTTGTTTTGTTTGTCATATATGATATAATAATAATAATATATAAATGTTTGTCATCATTATTACAAATAATAATATATCAAATATCAAATATTGATTCTTGAAAAGAAGAATTTTTTTTTTGAGTGAGAGTGAGAGAGAGAGAGAGAGGGAAAAAATGCAATATGTCTTTTCGGTTGTTGTTGTTGTTGTTGGTTGGTTGTCACCATCATCATCTTCTTCTTCTTCATAGTCGTTGATGAACATTTTGGAATGTTTATTGTTGAGAATGTCATTTATTATGCAATGTTTTTGTTGATGTGCGTTAAACATTTACTCGCGCTCTCTCTCTCTCTCTCTCTCTTTTTTCGCTGTCCATGGTAGTACCAGGTCCAGTACCAGTTATTCAGTTCAGTTCAGTTTACAAATCTTTAAATTTTTTCCCTCATTATTGCACTCGATATCAACGGTCCATTCATTCGATTCTATTATATATTATTTGACTTTTAACATTTTAAATTCACACACACATGCCATTGATGTTCAATGTTCAATGTGTGTGTGTGTGTGTATGGTGTGTATGTATTGAATTCCAATGACAAAATATTGAATATTGAAAATTAAATGTTTGAAACATACAAACATATTTATAATATTAAAAAAAACAGTGATATATTGAAAGAGAAACAAATGATGTTTCAGTAAAAAAAATTAGCCGATTGACAATCAACAATATATTGATTGATTGATTGATTGAAACTTTCACCTGTCGTACACACACACACACACACAATGATTAAATATTTCACAGATATGGATCCTTTTTTTTCATTCTCTCTCTCTCTCTCTCTCGAAAAAAAAAAAAAACGTAAAGTTCTTGTTGCTGGTATATGTTGTTTATTTGGCACTGTTTTTTCGTTTTTTTTTCTTCTTCTCATCGTTAATCAGTAATTGCAATATGTAAAACAACAGACAAAAAAAAATACAGTATGATTTGCTGGAATATTGTTCAAATTCTGGTGTTTGTTGATGATGGTGGTGTTAGTGGTAGTGGATGGTGGTGAAATATCGAATTAAATTTTTCAATTTATCATCAGGCAGGGGGTTTATTAAATTATTGATAAGAAAGAAAAAAAAGAACTGGAATGATTGAGATCATAGTGTGAATAGCTGCAATGTCTGTCCTAGTGTATTTCTGTGTGTGTGTGTGTGTGTGTGAGCGCATTAATCAAGTGAGAGAAAGTGGAAAAAAAACTGAGAAAAAAAATTATTCAAAAACCAACAAACAAACGGAAAAAATTCAAAAAAAGCAAGAATCAAAACAAAAAGCTACGGATTATTATTATTATTATTATTGTTATTTTTTTCATTATTCAAATAATTTTTAAAATGAAAACGAAAATCATGGAAATTTTGAAATTATTCTTCTCACAATAAAATCAAATACAATAATGATAATCATAATGGTGTGTGACAATCAAAATCAAAATTCAAAATCAAAAATCAAGATTAAAATTGAAATTAAATGGCCATAAATAATAAAGAAATACATAATCAATGAATTCAATAAAATGTAAATGATGTCATTCTGTATTCTGAATAAATATGCAAATGATTATTAAATGAAACAAAAAAAAAAATTAAGATTTACCTTAAATAAATGAGTGAATGGTTGTGTGTGTGTGTGTGTGATATTCAATTGACTAGTTTATTACCTTCAATGGAAAAAAATTATAATTAATGTGCAAAGAATTGATCAATACTGGTGATGATTAAATTAAATTAAATTAAGTGTGTGTGTGGGTGATGAAATCAAACGAATGAAAACCAGAGAAAAAAAAATCAACTAAAAGATCGATTGTGAATCAATCAATAATTTTGTTGTGTGTTTGTTGGTCCCTCACCTTTTTTTTCATTGTTGTTGTTGTTGTTGTTGTTGATGACGACGATGATGATGATAACACAATTGTGATCTAAATAAAATCAGACTAGAATCATTCGGTGTGTGTGTGTCAGCAAGTGAGTAGCTTGCGTAGTATGGATGTGTGGGTGGTGTGTGAATATATAAGAATTATAAATGGCATATATAAATAAATGGAATGAATTCATATTTAAAAAAAAAAAAACATCAAGGTCGATCAGAATAATAATTCAACTTTTTTTGTTTCGTTTTGTTTTGTTTTTTTTGGTTCAACGTTCAACATTTTTTTTTTCAAATGATCAAATCATCACAAACATCGTATCATCATATATATAAAGCAGCGAGACAAAAAAAAAAAACAAAACGAATAAATCCAATATCGTATCGTTTTCTTATGCCAATGATATTGGTTTCCAAAATACTGTTTTTTGTTTTGTTTTAACTTGAAAATATAGATAATATAATAATAATAAATATATAAGTAGAAAAAAGATTTAAAAGAATCGTTTCAATTCCAGTTCTGTTGTTGTTGTTGTTGTTGTTGTAGTTGTTGTTTGTTGTTGTTGTTGTCGTTTTCTTAAAATATAGATTAGACATATGTGTGTATGAAAATTGATATGCAAATTGTAGTGGTGGTAGCGGTGGTAGTGATGGAGGTGTGATCATCATCATCATCAAATCTTCAGATGAATTATGGTCGGTTTGTTGTTGTTGTTGTTTTTGGTTATTGGAAATAAAAAAAAATTCCGTGAAAAAAAGGATTAAATTTTCGTCAGTATGTTTCATATATTTTCAAGTGTAGGATCGAGAAAATTGAAAAATTTGAAATCCAGGAAAAGCAAACAAAAAAAAAAAATAAACACTTGAGAATCGAGATTCAAATTTTCTGAATTGAAAATGAAAATGAATCTCTCTCTCAATATTGATTTACGAGATGATGATGAAACTGTATGAATAATTGAAAATAAATGCCAAGAATAATATTTTGGTAGTTGTTGTAATGAAGAAAATATTCAGCGACGACGATGATGATGATGATAAATTATGATGATACAGGGTGTGAGGGATGATGGTCGTGATGTGTGTGTGTGTGTTTTGATGAAACTTTCATACACAGAGAGACACATTTTTTTTTTTTGAAACGGATGGACTAGAGTGTGTGTAACATCTTTATGATAATTTTTTTTTCTTGCTTCTGTTGTTTTTGTTTGATTCATTCATCAACCATTCATTTAAGCAGCTTTACATTTGTTTGTCTTAAATGAAACTTGTAATACACGATTTCCTAATGTATAACCATTTAAACTTTGTATGGCAACTAATGCTTCATCATAATTGGTCATTGTAACGAAACCAAATCCTTTACATTTGTTCGATTGTAAATCACGTATAATTTTGACACTTTGTACGGCGCCAAATGGTCCAAATAGTTGCCATAATAATGATTCTTCTGTATCCGGTGCCAGATTGTATACAAATATACACCAACCAGCGCCACCATTTAATGTTGCATTGGCTGCAATCAATGGATTGGTCAATATATCACCAGCAAGTGGAGAATATCTATACATATATATACACAAAGAATTTGATTATAAAATGAAAATATAAAATTGATTAAATTAGCATGAATATTCAAACAAATGATTGAGATAATGTTGTAATTCAAACAAACAAAAAAAAAAAATTAATCAAATTGAAAACAAAAAGATAAAATAAATTGAAAAAAATGAAAAATGAAACAACTCAAAAATACGGTCCAACAGTAAATAAAACAAACGTATGTATATTACAATAATGACAATGATTGATTGATTGATTGATTGATCTATTGATTTATCAAGATAGATCGAAATTATAAGTATACAGAAAAAAAATGAAAGAAAAAGTTTAAAGCCAACCGAAAAAAAAGCAACAACAAAATAAGTTAATCAAGAAAAGAAAAAATTAATAAATCGAATGATGACGACAACGTTGGTGAAAAAAAATTACATCGACCGATCAAAGAAAATAGAAGAAAATACCAATGTCGATGCAAGGAGAACGTTTGTTTCATTTACGGTCAGACTCGTACCTTGAGATCGGTGAAATCGATGGATGTAAGTACCTGAAACGATTGGCTGGATGATGAATTGGTCCAGGAAAACGACGTTGTGGTGATAGATAAGCAGCTAATGCTGGTGTTAATGCTTTTGCATTTGTACTAGGATTATTAGCAAATTTCACCGTAATCGGTTCAGTAGATCCATCCGGTATTGTATTATGTAAATGTTTGATAGCTTTTTCCGCTTCACAACGTTGATCAAAACGTACAAAACCAACACCTTTTGAAAGACCTGTACACAACAACAACAACAACAACAAATGAGACAAATGATTTTAGAATTTGATTTTTAAAAAATTTTTTCTTGTTTTTTGTTTTTTCGAATGCAAACAAAATAAATACAAAAAAAACCAATATATTCATCATCATGCAATATAAAAACAATAATGAAAAAACAAACAAACAAACAATACCGTTTCGTTTTAAAATTTTGGGGCACACAATCGATCATCGTTATTATTATTATTGATTTAATCAATGGTAATAATAAATTCGTAAACACATGAATATGAATGCAGTAGAATAATGAATTGGTGGAAAAAAAGACAAAAAAAAAAAAAGAAAGAAAGAAATGAATGAATAAACAGCAGAAATATAATGGAAAAATGTACAAAAATTTCGTCTCGTTTGTTTTTTTTTTGAAAATGAAAACATAAAATATCATTATATCAATATCAATGGATCCAGAACAAAAAAAATCTGTGTGGGAAAAAAGAAGAAGAAAAATGAACGAAATAAAAACAAACAAAAACATACCGGTAATATTGTCACACAATATACGTGATGTTATTATACGGCCATATGGTGTGAATAAACTTTCCAATTCTTGTTGTGTCATTGTTTTTGGTATACCACTTACATAAAGATTGGCTCCTTTGATCGATTCACTACTTGGACGTGCAAATGATACCTGAATGAATGGGATGATTGATTGATTGATTGAAATTGAAATTGAAATTAATTGATAATTTTAAAAACTTTTGAATCATCAAACCTTGATTGTCTTGTTCTGCAATCGTAGACCATTCAATGTGTTGATTGCTTTTTCAGCATCATCAGCTCGAACATAGTTTACGAAACCATATCCTAATGATTGGCCTGCTTAGAAGGGAAAAATTTTTTTTTTTCGATAAAAACAAAATTTTTTCTGACACAAAAATGATAAACAAAACAAGATCTACCTGTAACTTTATCACGAATCAATTTACATGATTCAACTTCACCAATGGATGAGAATAGGCTACGAATCTCTTCCTGTGTCATTGTTTGTGGTAAATAGTTGACAATTAAATTTGTTTTACTATCTTCCATTGAATGTACTGATGAATTACTATGGATACTTCCATTATGATTATTAATAGGCGATGATGATTCATGTAGTCCATTCATGGTGGAACCACCATTATCATCAAATTCAAAATCAGCTGACGAAATCATCATTTATATAATAATGATGATAATCGAAACAAAACAAGACAAAAAAAATGAGAATTTCCAGAGGTAGTGAAAGAGAACAAGAGAAAAAAAATGTGAATGGAATATTTTAGTAGCTGTCGGTTTAATATATGTTGATGACTAGAGTATTTATGTATTGAAATTTTTAATTTTTGAATGGAACGGAAATAAGCTTGTTCGCTTGCTTGTTTGTTGGTTTTACAAAATGTGGACGTGTAAAAACTTGTGAATTCTGGATTCTGTTTAGAGAAAAAAAAATAATGAAAAAAAATTAGAAAATGAATCTTGATATATAACGGTAAAAGTTAATAATAATCATTGATAAAAACATCCGTATAGCAGAGAAAAACGAATGAATAAATGAATGACACAGATTTAATCTAACTGAATAAATGAATGAATGGAAAAAACTATTAATTTAAACGGAAATTAACATCATACACCAGATGTCGTATGTTAAAGTTCACGATTTGATTTCGATATTTTCATTGAAATGATGATTGTTGATGATGATGTTATACAAACAATTCAGTTATCACACACACACACACACACACACACACACACACACATATATATATTATATCTAAATAGCCTGATACTATAGGTCGGCTGTTTTTCATGTTGTTATTACTGTCGGCAAGGGCAAAGGTCGATTTGTTTGCACGCGAAAAAAAAAAAAAAAAAATTTGATGGAAAAGCGTGCACGTGTGTGCGTGTGTGTACAATGAATGAATGTCATATTTTCAACAAAAACAACAACAGCTGTCATTCGTCTACTTATTTATCGATCTACGAACCGAAACCAAAACAAGCGAGGTTAATAATAACAGAAATAAAAGGTAAAAAAAAGATTCAGATGACTGTAAAAAAAAATTAAAACGGTCACATATCAGAAAATAATACAGTTTCAGTGCAGAAAAAAAACGTGTTCACAGAAAAGAAAAAAATAGAAAAAAATGATTCATCATCATAAAAAAAAACGGGAATCGAATCGGGAATAAACATTTCAACAATAAGCAAACACGTGAAATACGTACGCATACGAACACAGAGAAAATGAAATGGGATCGTTTGGATCGATTAACGTTAACGTGATATAGTGAAATTACTAGCTATATTAATATATGGATTTTTTTTTTCGTCGTTGTTGTTGTTGGTGCAAACACATTCGTTTTTTTTCTATACTGTATATTGTACTAATGTTTTTCACACACACACACACACACATATAAATAGAGTTCATGAACTGAATATCTCAAAACTTTCAAATGTGAATTGTATTGATGATTGTTGACTGTTCCAGAACAAAAGTAAATTATCGATCAATGGTTCATCGAGATCGAGATGTTCACCACACACACACACAAAAAACATACAACTACGGTTTTGAATCCAAACAACGAACGATGAATCCTATGAAATGTATTTTTAAGAAGAGATTTTCAATTTAAATGAAAAGAAAATCGATATTTGGATGAAAAACAACAACAACCACCACACCACCACCACATTGATAATCGTATTGGAAAACACATTATATATTCATAATAATAATAATAATAAGGTTTCAGATGAAAAAAAAATGCCAAGAATAATTAAGAATGGCAATATTATAAAACGCATACAAAAAAGTGGATATACAATGACAAACATGCACAGTTTTTTTTATGGAACACACTCGTACACACACACACACACACACATGTGAACCAAAATGTTATAATAATTAAAATAATGGGAAAAAAAAAAAATCCAGGTAGATTGAGAATTTTTTTCATCGTCGTCTTCTACACAGAAAAATAATGGCCAGAAAATAAAATGGACGACATTAATTACATTACATGACAACAACAACAACAACAACAACAACAACAAAGCACATTGATCACCATCTACGTGTGTTCATTGAAATTGAATTAAAATGTTCAAATAATTATGGAAAATTCATTTTCACTTTAATTTAAATGGATGGATGTGACTCTCTCTCTCTCTCTCTCTCTCTGATTACTTTAAAATAAGGGTGTAACAAAAACACGAGGAAACAGAAATTGTGTTTAACCAACACACACACACACAAAAAAACTGGTGATGATGATGATGATGATTTGTTTATGTTTTCAGCATTTTTTTTCCACGAATTTCTGTTTTTGGTTTTAACAGTGGAATCATTTTCACCACACAACAGTGGGTGAAAATTCTTTAATTCTTCTAAAAACAAGAAACACACACACACACACACAGTCGATTCTGAAAAACGAAAAGATTCATTTCAAAAATAAAAACAAAACATTTAAAAGAGAGAGAGAAAAAACACATAAAACGGAAAAATAAGTATTCTGTCTCGGTGTGTGTGTGTGTATAAGGATGGATAAAATTCTGAAATAAAACAGACCGAGAAAAAAAAATCATAACCAAACTAACTAATGTCGACATAGTGAACATTGATTCAAATCATCATCGTCATCATCATCATCATCATCATCATCAAACATTAATATGAAATGTAAACAATGTTCTCTTTTCTCATTATACAACCAACCACATTTATATTATATTCCTGAAAAATAATCATCATCATCATCATCATCATCACTATTCACGTACGTGCTTGATTGATTGTAATTTTATCCAAAAAATCCAATAATTTTAAAAACGAAATGTTGTTGTTTCTAGGTTATAAAATAGAGAAAAAAAATTGATTTCGATGATGATGATGATGAATAAACTGTTGCTATCCAATCAACAATACAACAACAACAACAATAATCACATTGGCGACAATGAAATTCAAGCAACTAAAACATGAACTTCATCATCATCATCATCATCATCATCATGATGATTGGAAAAAACTAATTAGGTAAATTGATTTTGTTTTTCTATCTGATGATTCTGGAACTTTTTTTTTGTTCAATACGTGTATGTGTGTGTGTATGTGTTCAATCCATCCAGAATATTAAAGAATCATCATAAATCATAAAAATTGATTCAAGGCAATCGAAATAAAACATCATCATCATCATCATCATCATCATTTTGATTTTCAAATTGTTTTTGAAATTTGAGATTATTTTTGTTTTGTTTTTTTTTTTTTGAAAAAACAACAACAACAACAACGAAAAATTAAACCAAAAAGCCTAGGAAACGAAATAAGAACAAGAAGAAAACATTTTTTTTGAACAAAAAAAAATAAAAAATAGAGACTATTGGACACACTCATAGACATTTAACCATTGTTCATCATCATCATCATCATCATTATTATTATGGTTATTATAGCAATAACATTTCTTTGGTTTTTAGTTTCATGTTGCTCCATCAGAAATATACTTATGTTGGAACATATAAACATACATGGAAATATAAATTACACACACACACACAATAATAACGTAAAGCGATGGTACGCAAACGCAAAGCTACGATTCTTTACACGCTTTTAGCGTGTGAGAGAGAGAGAGAGAGCATAGAATTGGAATTGGAATTGGAATGAAATGAAGAGAAAAAAAAATGGGAGCGACAAACATGTAATGAGTTTGCGTACAACACAACATTGGAAAAAAAAATTTTTGAGTGAAAAAACGGAAGAATTGGCCGAAAAATAAATTTTTCTGTGAATATATACATGTAACATTTACCATGTATAACAAAACGGGCCAATAATAATTGAGAAATTGTTCAACTGGCCGTTTTTGTTGGGTAATAAAGGAAATAATGATGATGTGATCGGATGTTTGAAAAAAAAATTTTTTCACAAAAAAATAAACGAAAACGATAAGAACTTACTTGAAAAAATTTCCAGAGTTTTTTTTACTGAATTGCTGCTGTTGTTGTTGTTGTTGATTCAATATTTGATTGAATTCTTGAAATTGGAATTTTGAAAACAAACAAACAAATAAACAGAAAAAAATATGAAAGGAATGTATATTGGTCAAGTTATTGATCGAGTGTGTGTGTGAATGAATGAGTATGTCAATGATAATCAATGAACCGAGAGAGAGAGAAACGAAAAATGAATTTAAAAACAGAGAATAAGAATGCAGAAATAATATTCCAGAATGAATAAATGAATGAATGAATTTAACGAGAATATGGTTGAGATTGACAAAATAAAACTAGTTTTTAATGACTAGATAAAAAGAGAGAGAGAGAGTGAACGAAAAAAAAGTAAAGAATTTCAATGTCAGAAACAGAAAATCAAAATCAAAAGAGAAAAAAAACGAATTATGGATCATATCATCATGTTATTGAATGATGTTTGGATGATAAAATTGATGAAAATCATCATTTTTTTTTTGTTCACTATCAACAGATATATGATGATTCTGGTGGTTGTTGTCGTTGTCGTTGTTTGGATGGCTGTCTTGAGGTTTGGTTTGATTTTTTTTGTTGTTGTTGTTGTTGTTCTGATGTTAATGTATGGAATTTTTCGTTTTTGACAATTTTTAAATTCGAACCGGACAATTTTTTAGACGACCACCAATTTGTCGAACAAACAAACACCACAACGGGAAAAACAAAACCAAAAAAAATCGAATCCAAATTAATCAAGAAATAAAAAAAAAAGATTACTAATAATGTGAACAGAACAAAAAAAAATCAAAATCAAAATCAAAACAACAACAACAACAACGACAACAAATGACAAATGATTAAAAACACAAGATCAAAAGTGATAGAGAATGGAGAAAATAATAAAATGAGAATGAGAACCGAAGAATAAAAAAAAAGTGCCGTGTGTGTTGTGTGTGTGTCTGTTCAATGTTGTGTGTGTGTGTGATGTTGTAGGTGTCGATGTCGGATGTGTAATGTGTTTTGTTGTTTATACTATTCGATTTGGATCAAAAGTTTGAAATGAAAATGAAAAGAATCCTAGTGGATCTTTCCGATCTATGGAAATATACACACACACACACAACCAGCGTTTTATTTGGTGATGATTATTGTTATGGTGGTAGTGGTGATAATGGTGGTGGTGGTGGTGGTATGAAATTGGTTTGGACCATTCGTAAAAAAAAATTTCGGTAAATCAACTCATGCGCTAAAATAACAAAAAAAAAATGAATGTTCAGAAAAAAAATATTTCCCCTTCCTTTATTCCCCTATCTCTCACACACATCCTGAAGAGCATGCGTTTTCAAACGGAAAAAAAATTTTTCATTTCAAATGTTTTTATCTGGATCATGTATACTCTTTGTGAGGGGGATGGGATATTACTACCGTTGAAGATGGATGTGTTTGATAAAGGTGGGATACGAGAGTGGTGAGGGGGTAGGAGAAGGAATACGAAAAAAAAACAGGCAGAACGATTCGGTCCGGTCGGTCGATCAGTTTCCACATTGTGTGTATCCCCTTATGGACAATAATAATAACCGTTTTATTCGACTGTTCCAAACACGCCAATTCAAAGCCACCATTACGATTACCACTATTTATTCTAGTGTGTGTGTGTGTGTCCAAAATATAATGAGATAGCAGTGGTATATGGAACAACGACGGGACCAAAGAAATAAAGACACATAAATACAAAGGGAGAGAGAGAAAAATCAACCGTCCATCCAGCCAGCCAACCATACAGTTTCCCTGGTTTGATGATGATGATGATGTATACATCACTATGACAACAACTATTACATTGATAATGGGGAAGCCCACCATCAATAGATACACGCGATAGGTTCTAACAAAAATAATCCAAATAATAATATAAAGCTGGTATAGGAAAAAAAACCCATGGGCCATGTGTTAAGTTGTGTGTGTGTGTGTGTGTGTGTGTGTGTGTGTGCAATTCAGTTTCCAAAATGTCGCCGAATAAAATGATGTTATGATGATGATGTTTTTGTATTGAATATGACTGATGCTGCGGCTTTAGCTTTTACACTCACACACACACATACACACCAATTGTTATGACCTTCATGAAAAATAGAAAAAAGAAAAAATCTGTTTTGAAACACAGGGTGGTTAGAATATCCGAATAAAAAACCAAACAGTTGATAGTGATGATGATGATGATGATGATGACGATAGAAATTCAAGGCGGATTCCTTTTCCTCTTTTTTTTCCATACAACTATCTACATTCCCATAGGACACATACATATATATGTATGATGATGTGGGAAGAGAAAGAGAAAGAGAAAGCGATAGAATAAAAATTCAGAATCAGATACACGTAGGAGTATAGAATTGAATGCATATAGAGCACAACATTATCGTCATTCTATTTGATTCTGAATGAGAAAATTGTAAACAACGATGCTTGTTGCACCTGAATAAATGCGATAGAATTTTTTTTTATGCATGCATGTGTGTGTGTGTGTGTGTGTGTAGGAAGGCAATGTTGTTTTTTTTGGATCATTCCATAATGTGAACAACAACAACAACAACAACAACAACAGATACGATAACAAAAAAACAACTTTCAGGAATCAACCAGAACAACAACAACTACAAAAAAAGTACGATTCCTGCGTTTATAAAGAATCAATTTTTTTTGGAAAAAAAACAGAATTGCACAGAAAAAAAAAAAAAAAAACTTTTTTTTTACAATTGGAATTTTTATCATTATCATAGCAAATTCTTTATCAATCAATTAAAAAAAATGGAAAATTCGTTTAATTTGGCCTTGTTAAACTGAAACCAGGATTCCAATAGAAAAACCAACGTTTAAATGTAGGATATAATAGATAAATACTGGTGATTGATAACCAGATCAATATGAATAGCAGTATAGAATGAGCATTTGTTATTTGAAAATCCGGTCGTAATAATAAAAACATAATCAATGTGAATAACAATGACGCAATCATGAATAAAACGTCAATGAATTTGATGTAACTATATGAACAAAACAGAACAGAACAGGAAAAAAATGAAATTAAAATAATGAAAACATTTTGCAATATACAAGGAAAAATACCGCAATATCCTATGTAGATAATCACATAGATTACAATGGACAATGGTTCGTTTTTTTAATGTTTTTTGTGTATCCATAGCCAGAATTTTATCGTTATTTTGTTTTTTCACATCATCATCATCATCATCATCGTAATCTCCATCATCAATAATTGTTATAATTAAGGATTTATCTACAGAATGAAGAAAAACATCATGAAAGAAAGAAAAAGAGTCATGTAATACATCACTTACCACTAGATGGTGAATTAATTGTTGCACTACAACACGTGGAACATGAACGAGCAGAATTTATTGATCGTGAATCAAGAATTTCACGAATAATATTACAATATCTATCCGATTCGAATAGATTATTATTATTATTATTATTTGGTTTTTTAGTGATGGCCGATGATGATGATAATTCCAGCACATTTGTTTTCGCATCACAATAAGAACGATGATGATGATGATGATGATGTGGATGAGTATTATCATTATCATCATTATTATTATAATTGACAACAGTAGTAGTATTCATCATCACCTGGTCATCAACATTATTATTTTGTTCATTTTGTCCATCATTACTATGATGATGATCATCATCATCATTAGGGACAGTGACCAGATTTGTTTTTTTCATCATTATCGTAGTTTACATCATATACACACACACACAAAAAGGCTATTTCAAAAGTTTTTTTTTTTCACCATTCGAAAATCAAAACAAAATTGATTAGCATCGAATTAATTGACATCAAAGTTTTTTTGGTCATATAAAAAATTCAACAAACACACACACACATTCAGGCACAAATGGAGAAGAGAATAGAATTAGAGCAACAACAACAACAACAGAAAAACTTTCGTTATAAAATATGAGAATTGATATAAATCGCACTGGGGGAAAAGAAGAAAAAAAAAACTTTGCTCTTCTCTCCTATTATCATCGTCATTGTCGTATTCGTCATTGAAGCGAAATTCATTTCATTCTAAATTGATTACAATGACGATATATATTGCGTTGACGATGACTATGATTGAATAAACCAACAGACTGATTGAAAAAGAATGCGGATGGATGGATGGATGAATGGATGGAACAAACAAAACAACAGAAAAAAAAGACATTGAATATTGTTTATGTGAAAAATGTAGAAAAAAAAACGAAAATCAAAGTTCGAATTTTTATTTCTGACACACACACAGCCACACACACACACACACGCACATGCACATGCAAATCAATCAAAATTTAATTTCGATTTGTTGTTGTTGTTTTTTTTATCTAATCATCATTTAATATATCAACTAGAACACTTGAGATTTTGATATTCTTCACACACTGTGTGATATACATACATGATTTAATTTGGATTTTTTTTTCGCTGTTGTTGTTGTTGGGGATCATTTTCATTTGCCACGGAAATTAGCCTAGTGTGTGTGTGTGTGTGTGTGTGTGTGTGTGTGTGATTGTCATTTGTCATCATCGTGATTCGTAAAATTATAAATTGATTTATACAGTATACAAGAAAAATAAAACATGAACAACAACAACAACAACAACAACAGTGAAAAAGATTAGATTAGAAAAAAATTTTTTGTTGTTGTCATTGATGATTATTTATTGAATATTATATCACTTAATACGTGTTTGATTTTGTCATCATCGTGTATTTGTTAATGTGTGTGTGCAAACAGTGTCTGTCTGAGTATGTGTGTGTGTGTTTTTTTTTTTTTTTGGTTTTATTTGGAGAAAAAAAAATTTTCTGTATGTTCAATTGTGCACTTGAGTGAACATATAAAAAACACACACATACACAAATATCAATAATCAATCAATTAGATTTATTTCAAACGATGATAATGTGTACGGACAATTGACCTTTTTTTTGTGTCTAGGTATTGTACATCATCATATCATGCACTTAAAAATTGATTTTAACATTACACAGCATGCAAGGATTGGATATTTTCATAATGAAAAAAAAATTTTCAATCAAATCATAATGATCAATCAATCAATCAATCAATCAATTTTTTTTTTTGGATGTGGATAATTTATATCACAACAAAAAAATTATAGATTGAAAAACTTTTGCTAAATTCATTGAAATGGGCAACTTTAACCAGCCAGAAACAGAAAAAAAAAAATTTTTTTTTTTCATAAAATAAATCTTGTTTGTCAGAACTTTCATTCTTGAGCAAATGAAATTCTTTTGAATCAGAAAAAAAAATTATGGCATGTACAACACATACACACACACACACACACAGATGCACAAATGCATTACTCAATTCGTAGAATCAAGCTTATAAATCAAAATAAAAATGAACGCATATGAAATATCGCAAATTGATTTGCTTGCTGATTCGTTTGTCCTGTCTTGTGGTGGTATAAGAAAGAATACACTGGTGTATGATAGGAATAAATGCCACCAATTAACACAACCAGAAAAACAAAAAAAAAAAAAAAATTGACCACAAAATTTGAAAAAAAAATCACTACACCTAGAACTTATGGATCCATTTTTTTTTTTTCGGTCACCACCACCACAACATTAGGGCAAGTTATGTTACAACGGAAAAAAAAATTTCTTTCAAACTTTAAATCATTATTTATATACACCACATAGATGTTGTATAATAATAATATCAAGCGGATCAAACCGCAGGAGAAGAAGAAAGAAAAAAAAATTTTCTTTGGCTGCATTCCATTCCATTCCATTCATTCAATTACACACACACACACACACACATTGAATATTGGCAGAATCATGATGTGAAGAATTTTGTGGTTGTTGTTGCTGCTGCTGCTGCTGTTCATGTTCAATATTTAATAATCTATACATTATACGGATGTTTTGCCCATTTTTTTTTACATTTCAATACTTTTCATCATCATGAATTATTTGTTCATTTGAAATTTTCATTTTTGTTGTTGTTGTTGTTGTTTTGTGGATTTCGGTTGAAACAAAAAAAAATTACGTCAGACACAATTCAATATTGGATTGGATTCGATTCGATTTTTTGTTGATTTGTGGCCTATTCTGTCATTATTAATAATTTTGTGTATGTCAAACATTGTGTTATTTATGAGGTTTTTTTTGTATAGTTTCATAAAACAATAAGCAAAAAAGAAGAAAAAAAGATTTCGATTCTGGATCTGGTTTTGTGTGTTTGGTTTACCCGAAACAAACAAACAAAAAAAAAAAAAAGACACACAGGATATCCACAAAACAGGAAAGAAAGGAAAAAAAAAAAAGTGACATTTTTCTTGGTTTACAAGAAAAAAAAAACGCAAGTGAGAGAGAATCACGCAATTCATACAAGTGATGATGGCGTTTTTTTTTTTTTGTTCTTATCGTGTGATTCAAGGATTCTGGTATTCGAAAACAAAACAAAACAGAAAAAAACGAAAATGATAAACCAGCCATTGTTTATCATCATCATCATCATAATGGCCAAAAAAAAAAAAAAATTTTAGGTTTGAATAGAAAAAAGTAGAAAAAAAACATTCAATTGTCGATAAACATGTCATTAAGTTATGGTAACAGTCTTGGTTTTCGGATTTTTGAATGAAAAATTTTTCAAATTTTTTTTTTCAATAGCTGAATGAAAAAAAAACAATTCAAATTCTTATCTCTTGTGTTCTCTCTCTTGTTTTTTTTTGGTTTTGGTTTTGGTTCTTACTTACTTTTCATTCTTACGTGTTTTTTTTTTCTGTTTCGGAAAAAGTTTTCCATAATGGAGTAGTGATTTTGGATTTTTTGAGAAGAAAAAAAAATTTCAATTTTTCCACACACACACACACACACACGTTTTTACAGAGAGATGAAAGAAAAGTTTGTACGTGATACAACTCTTTATTTCTCTTTTTTTTTTTGTTGATTTTCATGTAATAAAATGGCAAAAGAATCATTTATCTTTTATAGAAAGATAAAGATGTTCACGACGATGATGATGATGATGATGATGCAAATTAACATCATGTATGTGAAACATCCACTTATACAATACACGAAAGAATCAAATCAAATCCAAAATAACAACAACAACAACAACGATGACGACGACGACGACGAAAATTTTAACGAGTTAATTTCAATATATATATAATATTCGTGTATGCATTTCACGTTTTATTTTTTCATACTTTGCAAAAATTGCAATTCTTCTTCTACATGTTTTTTCTCCTGATTCTCAACTCTCTCATTCTGATAATATTTCCAAGAATCTTGGCTGTTGAAAAGCATTAGCAAAAAAAAAAAAAAAAAAAAATCCATGTGAATTTGTGATGGACAAAAAAAAGTTTAAACTGGCAATTTTTTTTCACAGTCTGTTTTGTTTGGAAACAAGCGAAAAAGAGAATCTCAGAATCTCAACATGCAAAAAAAAAAAAACAAAAAACAATCTCTTTTGGAATGAATTTTTTTTTTTTTCATTCATCCACTGGACAACTGTTTTTTTGTTGTTGTTGCTTTTCAGTTCAGTGTTTATTGTTTCTCGTGAAAAAAATAAATCCAGAATAATTGCAGCAGAAAAAAATTTAATAATACACCATCTTCTTAACGTATACACGCAAACAGGAATGTGAACAACAACAAAAAAAAAAAAAAACAAAATTTAATTTCAAATGGAAAATCCAAATTTAACACCACGATTTATCAACACACACACACACGCCAGATGAATTAATGTTTAATTTCATTCTTAAACAAACAATACAATGTGTACACTGTTTGTTTTATTTAAGATGTCAGGAATTTTCAACAACAACAACAACAAGAAATCTTTAAGATAATCTTGTTTGTTTCAAATATTTTAATTTTATCCAATTTATTATGATTATAAATGTGAAAAAAAGACAACAAACAAACAAACAAAAAAGTTATCGATAACCAACACAGGATGTGCGAAAAGGTCAATTAGACCATGGACAATGGATTTTTTCGACATTCTTCGGGTGTTATTCTTTTTTGTTTTTTTTTGTTTTGGAACACATCCTGTGTCTATAAATTAACACAATTTTTTTGTTGTTGTTGTTGACAAAAAACAACAACAACAACAACAGCAGAAATACACACTATTGTTCATCATCATCATCATCATCATTATTTTATTATTGCACAAAATACAAATGAAATAATTAAATTTTTTTTGTTTTGTTTGCGAATGAAACAAACATCATCATCATCATCATCATTGAATTTGTTTCGTTGGCGGCCTATGTGTGTGTGTGTGTGTGTAGATTGAATATTAATGCTTATCAATATGAAATGAGAAAAAAAAATAATCGGATAATGGTGAACGAAACAAAAACAAAAAAGGAAAAGAATTCAATTATCTTTATTTTAGGAATAGGAAACCATTTTATATATTTGAACCAGAATAACAAAAAAAAATATGGAATAAACTCACACCCACCCACTCTCTCTTGATGTAGTATTGTAATTGGAAAATGGAGGGGTGGGCAAAAAAAATACAACTACAAAACATGAATGATGTTGATAATTATTTTGGGATAAAATTTTTTTTTCATTGCAGAATGTAATATATTCACATGAAAGAATGTGAACAGAATTTTTTTTTTTGGGACATGAAAAAAAATTCTCAAATTCTGATGATAAACATTTTTGTATGTATTTTTTTTTTAAATAATTCTACATCATCATTGTGTCATCACAAAATATTTGTTTATTATTCATATGGAATGGATTCTTTTTTTGTTGTTGTTGTTGTTGTTGTTGCATCATTATGTTTTTTGTTTTTGTTTTTGTTTTCTCTCTCTCTCCTTGGAACCATAAATCACCCAGGGAAAACGAAAACAGAGACATATCATTTGGACCAATTTTCATCAGAATCGTTAGCAAAAGAACCAAAAAAAAATTTACTTAAAGAATATATTTAAACCAGATACGTATATGTAGAAAGAAATATATACTCAAGAGATAGATTAAATGGATGTGGATGGATGGACGAACAAAACAATAACAAAAAGTTCATATTCGGTTGTTAGTAGTAGTAGTAGTAATAATAATAATAATAATAAAAAGAAAAAGTGGAAACAAATTGAGATTCATAAGCAAGCATTTTTTTTCAAGAGAAAAAAAAAATTTTGAAATTCATTTCTTAATAATTTCATCTGAACAGCAGAATATAGAATATTAGAATATATGGAAATGACAAAACAAAAAAAAAAAAAAAAAACAAACAAATTCTGTATGAACAAGAAAAATTCTGTGTGTTAGTATTGAATGAATGAATAAATGAATGGAATGAAATGAATTTATTTGGCCTTTGAAAGCCTTGGAGGCATGGAAAAATTTTTTTTTATTATTTATTCACAAACACAAATACAAACAAAACAACAACAACAAAATTGATCGAAAGAATTTTTTTTTCATTTCATTTCATTCATTCACAAAAGTTAGTGAACCAAACTTTCGATTCCATATGAAAAAAATATTGCTATACAGCAGCAGCAACAACAACAACAACAACAACAACAGAAAAGTGACAACTAACTAACCAACCAACAAGCCATATTCAGTTCATAAATCACAACTTAATTTTATCGATAAAAACACACACATTCTTGATGGTTTGAATTCTAAACATCATCATATTGGATCATATTCGTTGGATTCTTTTTTGACGCAAATAAGAATTCATATTTAGTTGGATATATAAATCAAAATCCGTTTCGATCAAAATATGAATCAGCAATTTTTTCGATCAAAACTCACAAACACACACACACAGAGAGAGACTATAATTCAATTGCCCCGGAAAAAAATAAACTAGACAATTGACAATCGTTGAAATTTTTTTTTTTTTTGCGAGAAAATATCTCTTACACACACTTGTGAATTGTAATAAAAGCAATCATCATTCTCAAATCCATTCAACAACAACAACAAAAAAAGCAAAAGAATTCAAATGAAAATGGAAATGCAAAAAAAAAAAAAAAAATCTGAATTTTTTTTCCTTTTTTTTACTTTGGAAATTGTCCATTTCGTATGGAATTTTTTTTTCGACTATAATGATCATGATGATGATCATCATCATAATCATACGGAACATTGAATATGTGTGTGTGCACGAGCGAGCATTCACTTGCAAAGGGCACAAGAATATAATGGAATGAATCGATTTTTTTGTTTTGTTTTTTTGCATTTGGAAATGGCATTTTGAGGATGAATGAATGAGAATAAAAAAGCATATCGTTGCTTTCAATTTCATTTTTTTTTTTTTTTTTGATAATGTTAACAATTGAGTGTGTGTGTGTGTGTGTCAATTGTAATTGAGAATATCAATATATTCTACATTGTAAGGACCACATTATTAGTATTTTTTGGATATATGATAACGAACAAACACACACACATTACTTGATAATGGGAATATTTGTTTTGAGTGTGTGTGTGTGTGTTCAAATTCAAATTGATTAGAAAATGAACCAAAAAACGCACACACACACACACACAAAAAGACAAAAAACAATGACTTTAAACATAGAAAAAAAAGAACTGAAATCAAGAGAAAATAATAGAATATTTCGGGCGTCAGATGTGTGTGTGTTTTTTTTTCCACATGATAATGTCAATTGTTGATGACTTTCAGATGAAATCCAAGTTGATTTTTGTTTTCACTGGTTGGCTCCATTTGAAATTCAAATTCAATGATGATAATGATGATGATCAAATTCCGATTCAAATTCTATACATTAACTAATCAGAATATAATGAATTACAATATACTAAATTTTGATTCAGATGAATAAAAACGAGATTCTTCGAGATTCTTCGAATTTTTGCTCTTTTTTTGTTTTATTCGAATCGCTGCTGCTGCCGCCATCTGTGGCCGGCGCATTGAATTGCGATTATGATAAAAAATTTTTCAAAATCTTTTTTTTTTTTTGTTTTGGTATAAAATCTGGTTAAATATACAAATGATGACAAAATAATTCAAGTAAAAATGAAAATAAAAAATCCATTTCAAACAATCGTTGCATGACTTTTTGAATACGATGGACTTGTCGCTTGTGACAATGGTCGTGTATTTATATTCAAATTTTGTTGCTGTTGTATAGGAGTTGATGATCGATTTTGGCTTGATTTTAATATTTTTCGATGTTGTTGTAAAACATATGCTTCAATAGGATCATCATCAACATCCACATCTTCGGCGAATGATATTTGTTCTAAAAGTGTCTGTTATTTTTGAAAAAAAATTCAATTAACACTGGAATCCGATTTTTTTAATACATACCTGATTTTGTGAATGTGCATGTGGATGTACATGTGTATGAATAACATAATCATCAACCGATCTTGGTGGTGGTGATCGATTATAATTTGAATCAAAATCTGAACGACGACTAAAACTTGTGTCAATAAATTCACTTTCAAACGATGCTGGTGAACCGGCATACAATCTTTCAGACGTATATTACGTGGTAAACGTTTTCCTTTCGGTTCTTTTGTTTTATTCATCTCTTTATTGGCACCATTATTAACGGATTTCGTGGTTTTATTAGCCATTTTTATCTGTTTTTTATACTGTTCCAATGGTAATCGTGGATTTTGTCGCCATCGTATATCTGCTTCACTTGGCATCGGATGCATCAATGATAATACACATTGTATACCTTTTATGATGACAAGGGCTAATGCACTGGTGAAAATTCAACAGAAAAAAACAGAAATTCAATACAAACTAATTCTCATCGAATTACACTTACATTGCCATCAATACACAAACCATATATAATTCCATAATGGAACGATTGGTTGAATTTATTTCAAATTCGTGTCAACGGACAAAAATAAATGAATGAATGATTGATTGATTGATTGGTGAGCTCACGAAATACCAATAGAAAATATTCATCAAGGTAAACGAATACGAACGCATGCGTAATTAATGAACACACCTGAATAAAAATGTAGTTGTGTCATGCAATCAACAACAACAACAAAAACAACAACAACAGGTGTGTCTATTTTTTTTCTAATTCAGATTTTTTGAATGAAAAATAAATGGACTTTTTTTCATATGAAAAGAATAAAATTTATTCAGAAAAAAATTTGAAAAAAAACTTAACAAATGATTCAATGATTTTTCTTGATCTTTTTCATTCTGCTATTAAAATTTTTGAAATAAATTAATCTTGATTGCGTTTGATATTTGCATTACGTTGCGTGATGTGTGTGTGTGTGTGTGTGATTGTTCATGTTGTTGTTGTTGTTGTTGTTGTTGATGATGATGATGATAATAATGATGACGATGATAATTCAATCGGTTTTAAATGTTCATATTTTTTCATTATAGCATCAGCATGTTGATAAAACTTTTGTTTTTCAAAAATAAACATCAATCATTTTGTTAGAAAAAAAAACAACAACAGTAATGTAAAAAATGCCATTACCTGATCAACATTGGTTTCCATAAAAAGTTCATGTAAAAATCTTCTAGCTGTTGCTTTATAATCATTACGTTCCATTTGTAGACAAACATCAGAATAGAGGCAAAAATTTTCAAAAATTTTTGGAAATTTTTGTTTCAGACTATAAATAAATAAATAAATCGATTGAAAATGATCAAATAAAACATGTTTGTTTTTTCATACCTTAATAATCCTTGTTCCGATTGTTTGGCAAACATGACTACATGAAGATCCGATACAAGACGTAATACTTCATCACGATGTACATTTAGATCTAATGAATTTGTATTATTAACATCCGTTAGCATTTCGGAATCAGATTTCATATCCACTTCGGATGATGGTGGTTCTTTTAAATTTGTTGAGAAACATGAAAAATGAAAGAATTAGAATTCTCAAATGAAAAAAAAAATTAATCAATTTACCACATTTACCATTGATCAATAATGTTGGATATGTGATTTTAATACCAAAATCTTTACAACATAATAAACATTTAGCAGCAATATGATTGGCATTCGATGATGATGTTTTCATTGATGGACCAGATGATTTGACTTTTGTTGTTGTTGTTGTTGTTGGTGGTGGTGGTTTTGTTGTTGTTGCTCGGTGGTTGTTGTTGTTGTTGTTGTGCACTGTTTGAGAAAAATTTAAAATTCATTAAATAAACAAAACAAAACAAAACATGAAACAATTACCTCTTCAAGATGAAATATAAGCGATAGATTCTTTGGAAGACAAAGGCACATAAAATTGGATTTTTCATTCCATTGCTGACAATTCATTGAAACATTTTCGGCTATCATTTCACATTCCGATTGACCGGATATTTGTGAACTATCCGATAATGATCGTTGTTTGCCATCATTGATACCACTACCAACCATTGAATCCGTGATTGATAATTGATTATTAATCAATTTGGAATGATGATTAGGATTTGTATAATCAATTGAAAATATACATTTCGATTGAATAGGCGATATAGACATACGTGCATTTGTGCTGTTTGATAATTTTTGAAATGTATCATTTGTTGAATTTTTACTTTGAAATAAATCTATTGAAAATGTATCAGTATTAACCGAATCGATACTTTTTGGAAATGAATCCGGAATACTGTTGTTAGAGAAACTACTACTACCAACAACAACACCACCAACACCACCACCACCACCACCACCACTGATTGAAAAACATATTTCCCGATAATGATTGTAGACGACATTTTTGTATGGCTATTAATTGTGCATAACCATATGCATCCATTGGACTTGGATATGGATCATCATCATTAACAATAACAATAGGTGTTTGTTGTCGATTATTATTATTATTATTATTAGTGATGATCGGTACCGGTGTTGGTCGTGTTGTTGTTGTTGTTGTTGTCAATTGAGATTGTGCTATTGCTACATTTGATGATGGTGATAAACTGTTACCACTGGTTTCATTTCGATCATTAATCGTATCATCATATGGTTGACGAACAAGTGTATTACTTTGACTTGATGTTGTTGAATATTCAGTGAAACTAGCCGAACGGCTTTCACTATTATTCGTTGGTGCACTTTCATATGAATCATGACGAATTTTATCATCATGACCATCATCATTATTATTATTCATAATCATCAATGATGATGATGATGATGATACAATAGGAAAACATGGTGCACTAATTTTCCTATTACGTTGTTCATGTTTTGTAACAACATTCATATTCGATCGATTCAATGCATCATTCGATTGATTTAGTATTCCACTATCTTGACATTCGGGTTTAGATTTTTTCTTATCAAATAATGATACATTAGTAGCAGTAGTAGTAGTAGTAGTAGCGTTAGTATGATTCGTTGAAGAATTACAATCCGAAGATGATCGTAATCGATTATTTTTATTATTATTATTGATTGTCATTATTGTATTATATGGATTTGTAATACTTAACGATGCTAATGATGACGTATTCGATTCGACACCAAATGATGTTGATGATAATGTGGATGATAAATCTTGTTGTTTCAATAATTTTTCCATTGATCCAATCTGTTTATTGTTTCGAATTGATGTCGTTGTATGTTGACCACCGGATGTTGTTGGTAGAATTGATAAATAACTACTACTGCTACTACTACTATTACTACTTATACTAAATTGACATGGATTACTATTCATTAATGGATTATTCGTATTTTGTGATGATGATAATAGATTTGTTGTTGTTGTTGTTGTTGAATTATCATTATCGACGAATAATGAAAAATAACCAGATGGAATCGATATAATCGATTTTGTTGTTGTTGCTGCTGCTGCTGCTGCTACTGTTGCATTAGTTGTTGTCATTTCATTTGATTCTATTGGCTGATTTCGAATGACAGCAGCAGCGGCAGCCATAGGAAAAAGATGAAAATTTTCAAAATGTTGTTGATCAATTGGAAAACAATCATGATGTGAATGTTGAATGGCTGACCAACCAAAACGTGATAATTGTTTTGCACCAAATAATGTTGAACCAAACAAACATATTATATAGAATCCAGTTGCACGAAGTGATAATAATGTTGATCGTTCAACTAACATTGTAATCGATTTTAGAATATTTCCATCACATCGTATTAGATAATCTAAACCAATATCGGTCGAACCAATATGACCAATGGCCCATAATGCAGCTTTCATACGAAGTATATTATATTCACTATTATTATTATCACGATTTTCATTGTTGTTGTTGTTGTTGTTGTTGTTATTGTTAATCACATCATTTTGTTCAGCTGTCATCATGCAGATATAACGATTCATTTGTGTATGAATAATCGTTAACATTTCTTCACATAATGAATGTTGAATAATAATCTGTAATCCTTCACAAGTTTTGGCTAATTGTCCATAAAAATGTGGTACCAAATGTGCTGTCATACTACTACATCTTAATTGTGAAAAATTTCTACGATCTGGTCTTCGTCCATATTTACCAGTCACACTTTTCTGATGACAAGTAAAACATTCATTTAAACAATCTTCAACAAGACGAACATAACGTAAATGAAAATGATTACGCCAACGATCCAATTCTCTATCCAATGTATTTGTCTGTATAAGCATATTGATACCGGTTGAAAATGATGCAAAACGTGCAAAAAACTATTCCTTTATCGCCAAGATTCTGCAATGCCGGTCGATGTTCAAGAACTTTTTGCAAATAATTCATATTCTCCGTACAAGCTTCATCCAATATATCTAATGCCTCTAGGCATATCACAGATGATTGATCATAAAGTTGATTGATTAATAAATCGATACCCCATTGAGCAAAATCTGTAACACCCCATACGTAATAAAAGACGTAATAATTTTGTTGAATAAATTCTTGATGATTCATTTGATGATGTAAGTACTTTAGAAAGAATATTTCTTGGAAAATCTTTTTCACTATAATCAAATGATGAAATGATTAATTTTGCATAGATTTCATTGGTTGAAATATGAATCAAATCGATTAGATTCTGATAGATATGTGTTTTTTTTAACCAATTACGGCCCAAACGATAATGTGTAAAACGACCTAATAGAAGGAAATATTTTTGCGATAATGTTGATAATAGCCGTGATGGTATAAGAATTTCATCTGATGATGGCGATTTATTGGCAATATTTTTCAAACATTGATCTAGATCATTGATAAATATATTCAGATAATCGGAAGCACGATTTTCATCGGCTTGTAATAAGAAATCGATAAAATATATAGCGGCCAAACATATTTGTCGTGGATTTTCCGAATACAATATTTCATTATTATGTCCATGCATCATTTTCAATGTGGTAGGCGTTGTGACCATCGTTTCTGAAGTGGTCGATGATGATGACGATGATGATGATAAACAACTATTTTTTGATATGGATGAAAATTGTCGTTTTGATGGTGAAAAAAACTCTAATAAACGGCTACAAAATGACCGCACTTCTTTATCATCTAATTTGAGCATAATATCATATGGCTGTTTAAAAATGTCAATGATCAGATCCCAATTCCAATCACGAAATGAATCTTTTTTCAGAACATATGAATTTTTAATGGACAACAGAACATTTTCATCTTGCATTTTGGATATTGATCCAGATTTTTTTCTTCCTACCAAAATATTTGATGATGATGGTAGTGATGTGTTAATGGAATTATAGAAAAAAATTTGTTGCTCAAGAAAAAGACTAGTTGGTCGTGGACCTTGTTTTTTAATATCCTGTATACGATTCAATGTTGTCATAGTCATCAATGCACGATTACGTCGTTCACGTGAATTTGAAACCGATGCTGCCACTAATGTTGGAAGGCTTTGACAACGATGTGCATATGATGATTGTGGTAAATATTTACCGGATAAATGTAATAATTCACCAAGCATTATTGTTGATAGATTAATTGTTGCACCATCATTGGATTCAAGTATAACATTTAACAATGCTTCCAATATACCGAACTCGATCAATGATTGAAGTAATAGTGCTTGATGATTGATAATAAAATTAAGACGACCACCAGCTAAACTTGGTAGTATATCTTCAGCTTCTTTTGCAATGAAACCATCATAAAGTTGCCATTCATCAGGTAGATAATTTTTATTCGTTTGCATTGCCACACGTGATGATGTTTGTTGTTGTTGTTGTGGACGTGTTTGATAATTAAAATAAACACATCTAATTGATTCATCAAAATCATCAGCACATTCTGGTAATTTAAGACCAAATAATTCGTACAATAATTCCAATAGATGACGATGTATTTCCGTATACGGTAAATGTAATAAACTTACTAATGATTCTAATGGATTCAATGTATCATAGCCATTGATTTTCAATGTTGGATCATTGATGGATAATTTTTTTTCTTCGAAAAAAATACGAGCAAGTTTTCTGGACATATTCACCCATTCACTATTATATTCCAAACGATTAGTTGTATTATAAAATCGATTCATTTTGACTACACGACACATGAAAAAACATCCTGGCCATGACCGTAAAATGGATAGTATGGCATTTTTACATGATAAATATCGCAGTGTACGTTGTTCATAGCTTGCATTCGATTGTTGTTGTTGTTGTTGTTGTTTTTGTTTATTCAAACCGATACGAACATTGTGTACCGGTTTATTATCTTTTATTGGTAAATCAAAATCAAATGGAAATTTTGTTCGATCATCATGATGATGTGGATGATGTGGATCATAATTATTATCATCCAAATGTATTGCATTCAAATTTCGTTGTTCTTGAGCTGCCTTTGAAGCATGAAAAAATGAATAAAGATCAGTGAATGGTGATATAAAATAGAATAGATCAGATCCATTTGGTTGTAATAAACGTCTTGTTTCAGGATAATTATATAAATATAGGAATGATGAAATTATGACTTCGGATAATGCAATATTTGTGAATGGTATGGTGAAATTTGTAACAATACCATTACCACTACTCATGACTAGATTATTTGGATTATTCATTGTATTACGTTGATTTTACCAGCACCACCACCACCACCACCATAAATATCACCATCACATTCCGATAGATTTAAACCGGTAATGGCATTCAATGCACAACGAACCAGAATATTAATACAACCAGAACGAGCACTAGTAACAGCATTTACAATGGTCAATTCGGATATTGTTGCCCAACAAACACGAAGTAACATATCTTTTTCAACATAATTATCATGTGCAATTGAACAGAGACAACGTCCTAATGCGATTGGAAATATGTTCGGTTCAATTGCCATTATGTGACGTAAAAGACGCATAGCTTGAATACGTTCAATACGATTCTCCAATACAATATCCAATGAACGTGCAATCAAATGATGAAGATTAATATCAATTAAATGATGTAATGTTTTTCGATTCTGTACAAAAAAACGAATAGCTCGTAAACTGGCTGCACGAACCTCGGCCACTTCATTGAAAAGGCCAACACGAAGGCTAATGTGGTAGAGATATAGACAAATTTATAGTTAGAATATATTCTAACCAAAAAAAAAAAAAAAAAAAAAAACTTACCAGCAAAGAATTTCCGTGTCACATAAGAATGACGATGATGATATTTCCGATGATTGGCCATGTTTTGTTGCCTGTTCATTGGCATCCAATTTTCCATAACGGTAAAGACAATATTTTGTAAATAGATTGAGGTAGGCTAATAATTTATTCTTATTCTTTATAGAATCTTTCGAGCTTATATGATATAATATTACATAACAACTTTGATTCAATGCTGTAAAAAAATGAATCAATCAATCAATTAATCAATGATAATGAGATAATCATCAACACTTACGTCTATTCCAATCAAATTGAATATCAAAGTCATTTTCATGATATCTTCCTATACATATGTAAAGAATCATCATAAATTATAAATCGAATGAAACAAAAAAAACAAAACAAAACAAAACTTACGACGTTGTGAACGATTCCAATGTCGATTACTTCGATTAATTTTAATCATGACATACAATAATGATGATGATGATAATTTCAATTTCAGATCAATCAGATTTTGTTGATCCAATAAAGAAAAAAAAGTGAACAAAAATTAATTATACTGAAAATGGGAAAAAATTTGACAATTCGATCGATATGGATATTTTTGATTCATTTATTATTCGTTGATTATTGAACATTGTGAATGGAGAGAGAGAGAGCTGTAATTGAAATTTCGATGTTATGAATCATCATCGTCACCAGCGCATCATCATCATCGAATGAATTGAATAAAAAATTTCGAACCATTTATTATCAACAAAATGTGTGTGTGTGTTTTGTGTGTAAATCAGGAAGAAAAACACAGAAAATTATTTTTTTTTTTTTGGCTGAAAAAAGTAAAGAAAGAAATTGAGTTTTTTTAGAAATGGCAAAATAATCGAATCAAACAAACAAACAAACAGACAGAAAAACAAAAACATCAACAACAAAAACAACAACAACAACAAATCACGATGTTGAAAATGAGGATGTTTAGAATTGTTTTCGATTGATTTTTTTTTTCGTATTTTGTACTTGTATTTTGTATATATACACACAACACATATATATATGAAGAGCAGAAAAAAGAACTTGTTTTGCACGCAAAACACCCGTCACTTCATCATCATCATCGACAACGACAACGAACAACAACAACAACAACAAAATGTTATTTACTTTATCAATACTGCTGATTTGTTGTTGTTGTTGATGATGATGATGATGATGATGATGATGATGGTCCAAAGAAATAATCAAAACAAAATATGAATCATTTCCAACTACTGTCACCGGATGGCAGTACATTTCCTTTCGTTTGTTGTTTTTTTTTTAAATTCAATTTTTGTTTTTGTGCGATAATTTTCAAATCATCACAATCAATTAATAATCATAATGAATGAATGACAAATTGATTTTTTTTTTTTTTCAAATTGATTAAATTTCAATATTGAAGATGTAATTTTATTGATTTTTTAAATTAAAATCATTCGAAAAAAATGGTGTATGTGGATTATGAATAACTCACGATTCGAATATTGTGAGTCCACAATATGTGTGTGTGTGTGTTTGTGTGTCTATATAAAATGAATGGGCATGTTCCGCACAGAATACCGCAATTGTATTTGTATATTGTTTGTTTGTATGGACCTCCCTTCCCCTCAACCACACACACACACACACACACATATATTTGGATATTCACACCCGATGATTGTTACCAGAAATTTTTTGGTTGAAACAAAAAAAAAAAAAAGAAAAGAAAATCTAGTTACCATTGGTCATTATCAACTGACATTACACACACACGAACACGAAGCAAGGACAATCATCAACTAATTTGTGACAATTATTTCTTTCTGTATGTATACGATATAAGATTAAAAAAAAAATGGTCAACAACAATAGTGGACATAACGATAATAATAATAATAATGATCATCATCATCATCACAAATGTCGTCTTGTTCATCGTTCTGGTAAGTTATACTGATTGATTAGTTACACACACACACACACACACTAGATAGAAAAACTTGTGTGTTTCATTTTGTTTTTTTTTTTTTTTTTTTGGTAATTATTATGATTGATTGATTGATTGATAATTGGTAATTTGAGTGGTTAAACCAAAAAAAAAAAAAAAAAGAAAACAAAACAAAATTGTCATCCGTTGTTCTATTGATCGTTTTTTTTTTTTTTTCGTTCGATTTGATTGATCAAAATGATTAGCCACACACACAAAGGCAAACGAGAAAAAAAACAAGAAAAGCCAAAATCAATGAACGAGAGAGAGAGAGAGATCATTTCCTTTTTGATTCTGTAAATGTGTGTGTGTGTGTGTGTGTGTCTGTTTCCTTCCTCAGATCTAAAAACAGCGATTCAATCAAAATAATTTTTTGATTTTTTTTTTTCGATTTCTGAAATTTGAATTGAATGAAAAAAAAATTCGTTCTTGTTTTTTTATTCTGATTTTAGATGTCGATGTTGATGTTGATGTTGATGAAAAACATGATGGTGAATTGTTGTTGTTGAAAAAAATTTTTCCAGATAAAATAAATCGACAACAACAACAACAACAACCACAGCCAGACAATCATCAATGTTTAGATAATCAAATAATTTTGACAACAAAACGACGACGACAACAACAACAACAACAACAAAATCATCAACAACCGATCTGACAATGATGGATGCTGATAGTTCAACGGGTAAATCATGAAATAAATTTTGTTTGAAATAATTTTTTAAATTCAAATTTAACAAAATTCTAGCCGAATTTGGTCTAAAATCAAAAAAGAAACATCATCATCATCATCATAATAATAATTCGTTGATGATAAAAATTGAACCACGATCAACAGCAATAACATTGGCAACACAACAACAACAACAACAACAACTATTGTTGATGGATGGAACATTGAATATTATGGATTCAAATACATCGAATATCCAAACAACAACAACAACAACAATGAATGATGATACAAAATCTGGTCAAACAAATCAGGTCAGTACAACAACCGGTCTATTACCGAATGAAATGAAATCCAATCAATTATCATCAAATCGTTCAAATAATCGATCACAAACAACAACAACAACAACAAATGCATCATCACCATCATCAAAATCACGATCATTGTCCAATACACGTGAACGATGGAGGTAAGTTTTGGAAATTTTTTCCCAATAAAATCGATAATTAATTAATTGATTCACATCATGTCAACAATAACAGTAATAATCTAAAATCACGACAACAAAATGTAAATGGTGCTTTTGGTGAACTACGTAAATTGGTGCCAACATATCCACCAGATAAAAAATTGAGTAAAAATGAAATACTACGTTTAGCCATCAAATATATCCGATTATTATCGAATGTTTTAGAATATCAGAAACAACAACAAGATGAACAAGAAGATGATGATGAAAACAATCATGAAATTGATATCGATACATCGATTATTATTAATAACCATAATAGCCTTTCATCATCATCATCATCCACTTCTTCTTCATTATCATCATCACCATCATCATCATTATCATCATTACCATACACTAATAGCAACAAAAACAATCATCATCAATCGATTTTCAATGGATATGCAAATGATAATTTAATTAATTTAAAAAATCAAATTTATTTTCCAGATTTTAGACATCAATCACCAATACCGCTATCATTATTATCAAATGGAATGATAATGAATAATATTAATGTCACCGCTTTGAATAATCATCATTACAATCATCGATGTTTCACCATAAAATATGATACAAACGAAATAATTTCATCAAAAATAATGACGATAAAATTAGAATATTGAAACGATCATCATCATCGCTGATTCGAAATGTGAATGGTAAAAATAATAAACGTATGAAACAGAACAAACAAGAATTGAAAATGGAAAAGAAAATATCGTTGTTTGACGATAATGATAATATTCAAATGCAGAAACCATCAGCAGCAGCAGCAGCAGCAGCAGCCACAGGAGCAGCTGTAATGACAATCCATGATTGTAATGAAGAATTATTCCATAGTTCATCAACAACAACATCATCATCATCTTCGATATTCTTTAGCGATTCTGAAGAACATGATGATGATGATGATGATGAAAGTTGATGATTCTTAAAATACAAATTAATGTCCAAATCAAATCAAATGATGTATCACAATTATATGAGAGAAAGCAAAATCAATTAAATTTTCAATCAATTTCATTATCATGTAATATATAATATAACAGCATTTAATGTTTGTGTTGGTGTGTGTGTGTGTGTGATTCAAACAAATTGTATCTGTATTGTTTACTTTTATTACACAATAATCGATTGCCCATTCGTGTTGATGTTCATGTATGTGTTCAGAATAATAAAAATAAAAATAAAAATAAAGATCAAATGCTGATGATGTTTACTGATGTGTACATGTGTTGAACGTGTGCGTGCGCGTGTTGACAAATTTTAAACACAAATATCAATTATCAACAAGAAGATGGTGATGATAATAATCAAAATGATGACACATGCAGCAAACAAACGGAGAAAAAGAGAAATTCATACATGACTTGATAAATGATAATAATAAAATGAAAATGAAAATCATTTCATTACACATCAATTGATGCGTTAACGTTTCGTCATAAAAATGTCATATATGAACAATATTTATATCCATCCATTAATGTTTATTCATTTGGAAAGACAAAAATAACGAAATAAAAGTAGAATAATAACAGAATCGATTATTGTGTGTGTGTGTGTGTGTGTGTGTGTGTGTGTGTGTGAAGTGTGAAAATTCTTCGTGAAAAGCAGTATGGTTTTTTTTTTTTTGTGAAGAATAAAAAAAAGGGCTAGCAAAGAAAAAAATTCAATTAGATTCTTGACTGTCTGTGTGAAAGTGTATTATTTACTTTTTCTTCATCATCATCATCATCATCATCACAAACACGATTGAATCCGATTGTTTCCGATTCAATGATAATTCATAAAAAAAAGATACACAGAGATAAGAAAATTTATAATTCTTTAAATCCAAATTTTAGATTTGATGTATATAACACGTGTAATAATAATAATAATAATAACCATTGTTATTCACATAGTGTTGTTGGATGGTGAATTTCAAATTAAAAAACGATTATCGACACGTGTTTTTCAGTGTGTGTGTGTGTGTGTGTGTGTGTGTGTGTTACATGAATGAATGAGCAAGTGAGAGAAACCCACCAGAATAAAATAATAATAATAAAAAAAACTGCAAGAAAGAATAAAGATTTGTGTGTAACGAAATAAAAATAAAAAAAAATCAATCCATCTAATCACATCATCATCATTGATATCAGAAATCAAATATGAAAAAAATAAGAGAAAAAGAATCCATTTTTTTTTATCATCACAACATTTATCGACACGTGCAAAAATTCAATCACAAAGTGAGAAAAAAAACGTGCTTCATTCATTCAACTATTTATTCAACTACACACATCTTCAGTTGAAGATAAATAGAATAAATAGGATTTTGTTTAGTTTTTCTCAATTCATTATTCATATATTTTTTATCCATTATATAATCATCATCAAAATGGTAAGAGTGATTTAAAAACTAAGAAAAAAATAATAAGCCAACAAATGATCAATGGAGAGTGGATCAATCCAAATTCAATGCAATTGTCATGAAAATGATTACGATGATGATGATGATGATGATGATGATGATGATATTCGTTTGAATTTGTTCTGTTTGAATTTTTTTTGTTGATTTAAGCCGATTTAGCCATCTGAATAGTGTCTGTCTGTCTGTCTGTGTGTGTGCGTTCTTGTTGTTGTTGTTGTTAATAGAATAATTGCTGTTGTAAACAAAGAAAAAATGGAGAAAAAAAAACATTTTAGCTGTTATCTCATTTTTGCAGGCACTTGGAATTTTTTTTTTTTTTTTTGGTTAAAAACGACAACAACAACAACAACAACAAACGGTCACGGTTCAATTGGATCGACGTTTTTTTTTTTTCATCATCATTGGTTGGCTGAATTTTTTTTTTTGTTTTCAATTTAAAGTATTTTGATCACCATCATCATCATCATTGGATCTTCTTTTCAACTTGACTGTCTGTTTTGTGTTAAATGGCCAACAATTAAATAGTACTCCGCCCATCAAAATCATTATTGAACCAATCATGGTTTAGCCACACCTTTTTTTTGTACATGCATGTGTTTATGTTAAGGTTAACAACAAATATTTTTATAGCCGATAGATGGCAGCAGTATATGGTGAAAAAATTTTTTTTTTACACTTCGAATGTTGGCTTACCTGATGAAATTCTTGACAAGAATTTTTTTGGAATAAAAAAGAAATTCCTTATTATCTTTTATATATGATAATTATTTATTTTAACTTTATATTATTTTTTTTGCAATGAAAATTTTATAATCAAAATTTTTTTTCCGTTTTTTTTGTTGTCGTTGTTGTTGATGATGATGTTGCAAAAAAAAAATGATAATGATGATGAGAAAATAGTGTGTGTGTGTGTGTCTGAGTCAAAGAGACAGAGAAATGAATGAATGTCAATGAAAACAAAAAAAAAAAAAATGAGACACTGAAAAAAATGATGCTGAATTTGGTGTTTTCAGGAAAATTTCACCATTCAAATTGTGTGTATACAAATTACAAAAGAAAAAAAATCATGATGATCATCATTGTGTGTGATGAGTGTGTATGTGATGAAATTGAATTTTTTTTTCGTTTATAGTGTAAGAATAAAACAAAACAAGAATCGATAATGAATCGGCCAATAATGAAAGAGAATTTTAATCGAATGTTGATCCATTATTTTTTTTGGATAATAAGAATTTGTTGTTGTTGTTGTTGTTGAGAATCATAAGAATAATGAATGATGATGATGATGATGACAACAGACAATAATGATCAATATGATAATGATGATAAAATTGCAATGTTTTTTTTTTTTTTAATTAAAAAATGAATATAAGTGGTGTGTGCATGTGCATGTGTGTGTGATGACAATGAATTAAGATGCATGCAAAAATGTTGATGATGATAATCGATATTTATATATTCAAATGATGATTTTTGTTTCAAATCAGATTATCTGTGATTTTATCAATTTTTGTTGTTGTTTTCTTTAAAATATATAAATTAAAATCAATTAAGAAATTTACACAATGGGAGAAAAATTTTTTTTTTTTTTTTTTGATCAATTTTCATTCATTCGCGATTTGTGAATAAATATCGATATTGATGACGATGGTGACTATCGATTTTAATCGATTATATATTTAGTCATGTTCATTTCCTTTCATATAATGTGCATGCAAGTGTGTGTGTGTAGGTGTGTGTATGCAGGTGTGTGTAGCTTTGGATCAAAATAGACAGACAGACAGAAAGAAAAAAAAATTGAACTAATTGAATAAAGAAAGACCGGAAAAAAACGATGGTGAAGACAACAAATTAATAAAAAAAATAAATAAATTATATATGTATCAACACTATATATGTGGAAAAAATTGATTAATTGAAATAAAAATTCAAACAGTGTGTGTGAGTGTGGGTGGGTGTGTTTGTGATACAAATACATTCACCATCATCATCATCATCAATGTTTAAATTAAATGGGAAAAAAGCAATAGTTTCTACGGCGAACACACACACACACACACACACCACTTGTGATCAACACTTTTTGTTTCATATGAAATGAGATGAAAAGAAAATAAAAAAAAAAAGAAACAAAGCAAATAAGAAAAAAAAATAAAATCAATCAATCAATCAATATGATGATGATGGTGATGATTATGTTTAAGGGAAAGTGTTGCATAATGATGATGATGATGATGATTAAATAGAATTTTTTTTTTAAAAAATGCATTCATGCTTGTGTATGTGTGTTGTGGTGGTGGTGGTGGTGGTAGTAGTGGTGCAAAAAGAAATCAATAAAGAAATTTTCCAGTATTTATAGGAAATTCTTGTTTCGGAATGCAAAATAAAAAAAATGATGATGATTGAATTACTTCAATTATATATGTTGTTGACAATGATGATTTGTTTTTTGCATTATTTTTTTTTTTTGGTGGAGTGTGTGTGTGTGTGTGTTGAATATAATTAAAATTTAAGAGAAAAAGAGAGAAGAATCGCAATAATTAATAATAAAATTATGCATTTTTGTATCAGAACGTATTTTGTTGTAGTTGTTGTTGTTGTTGTCCATTAGTAATGATCAATAAGTTTGTTTGGTTCAAATTTCGAAAATGTTGATATAAATGATGATGATGATGATGAGGGAAAAAGGATGCAAAGAATGTTTGATGATAATGATAATGATGATTATACAAATTTTCTTCTTTTTTTTTGGAAATATTCATAATTTGTTTGTCTTCATTGTTTTCATTGCATAAAAAAATCCTGATGATCAGTTGGTGTTTCTTTTTCAAACCTTTTCGCTTCTTCTTGCATAGTTTCTTTTATTTTCAATATAGCCGCAGATTCATTTTGATCCTATATTTCATATATGATAAAGGTATGTTTATGTGATTTTGATTTTTTTTTTTGTTAAAACTTACATTTTCTTGTCCATAAGCCGTTATATCATAACCGATTGGTGGCCCACTATCCTCTCTAGGCGTCCCTGGTCCATTCGCTGGTGAACTTTTCATTCCATCCATACCATCACCAGGATTTGACATACCATTCATTACCGGTGGTACCATATCACCACCCATTGGACCTATAGGACCATCTGGACCACCAGGTGCCATTGAAAATTGCTGGTGTTTTTTGGTTGAAAAAAACAATAATAAATATTGTGAA